TATAGGTCACATAAAACAAGGACATTTAGTGAAATGAATAATGTTTATAATGTCCTTTTCTAAATATATAAAAAGGAAAACAAAACAAAACACTTTACCATTCCTGGTGGTATTTGCTTGAGTGTTGGTTGAGAGAAGCTCAAGCCTGGAACCTGCAGCTTCTTTGTAGTTGGTTGGGCAAACTGGCCTAGTATCTTTTGACCAGACCACCACAAAATTAAAAACAAACAAGCAGATAAATAAAAATATAGGCAATCAAGTAAGTGTTCATTTTTAAAAAGAGACCATCCTAAAATGCCACATTCTCTTATGACCACACCGTTTCCTTTAGAAAGACACTTGGTTTAAATAAAGTCTAAAACTGTGGGACTTTTTGCCTGTTTTCAGTTCTTTTTCTAGTTTGACATGTCAGTGTCAGTGAACTCCCAGGTAACCAACAGGCTTCCTGTCCTAAAGCATGCTTTCTCTTTTCTTGCCAGCATCAGTGAGAGTTCCATCTGGATTGAGGATTGCTCTTCTTTCTTATTTTATTATCAAATTCCTACTCCTTTTTCAAGGCCTATATCAAAATCTTCTGTTTGGCACACAAATCTCTTTCTCTTTGAAATTCTAATTTTAGTTCTTTGGCCAGTACCTTTGTAGTCTACTTGAATCTGCTGTGAAACGTGCCCCAACTAGGGGATAATTCTTTAATTCCATGAGAGCCTCACACGTTTCCTGGCAGCCATGATACCCACGTATTTAGTGGGAAAGCGCTTAGTCAGCATTTGTTCCTCCCGACAGTGTTAGTGATTATGGTAACCAGCCCTTCTCTTCATCTGCGTTCATTAGTGCTGTTTTCTGCCTCCCCCAGTCCCCAAAACAGCTTTCCTGGGATTGCAAGTGGTGCTTTCAGCCTCATTGTTTCCAAATTTGGTGTAAGGAAATAGCACATACCTTTCTTAAGCATGGGCTTCCCTGGTGGTTCAGATGGTGAAGAATCTGCCCCCAGTGTGGGAGACTCAGGTTTGATCCCCGGGTTGGATCCCTGAAGAAAGGAATGGCAACCTACTCCAGTATTCTTGCCTGGAGAGAACCCCTGGACAGAGGAGCCTGGTGGGCTACAGTCCTTGGGATAGAAAAGAGTCAGGCGTGACTGAGTGACTGAGCCCGCACCCACGAACCCACGAATTTCCCTCTGTGAGATTTAGAAGACTAGAGGGTAAAGAAATGTCACTTTCCTATTACTTTTTATCACACAGAGCAACATGTCACCAGAAAGCAATCAAAGAGAAAGCTGGCTGTGGACTTTTCTACATCATTTAAGCTGACCAATGGCAGGAGGTATGGTGCTTGCTGCCACTTGGCAATTTTAGATTATTTAAAAAGTGCAAACGGAATGCCATCTCTCTCTCTCTTGTTTTTACTTTCTTGAGCTGGTACACACAACCCTAGTATAATAAGGAGCCCTAGAAGTCAGTGCGTGACCACAGTCCCCAAGGAATCTCTGGTTGCAGCCCCAGTTGGAAGCTGCCCAATTATATTTTGAAACCTGGTTGATAGAACTAGTCAAGAGAACTCAGAAGGTGGGCACAGCTTGTTAATCTGGTTGTGTTCACTTCTTGGTGCTCTGAGCCCTGGAGTGTTAGCTCTTTCTGTGTATTTCTGAGTGAGTAAATCAAGAGAGGTTGAGATCAGTTTTTCTGAAGCTTAAAGGAGTTTGATTTACAATAAGATCCTTTTTATGAGTGACAGTGTTATAGGAACTCTTTCCTGGGTTAATTCAGGTCCTCTGAGAAGCAAATGCCAAGAGAACATCACTTCTGCAGGAGATGAACATGAGAGTGTCTGTAAGGGGAGGGGAAGGGGCGGGAGAAGGTGAGGAGGCTTTAGACAGTGATGCCCTTCCGACATCTGCCAGAGGGGAGGGAGGAAGCAAAGTGGCTGGAGGAGCTTCAGACACAGGCAGTCTGCGACAGGCTCAGCGGCCGCTGGGAGTCCTGAGCAGAGGTCAAGTCCAAGGGGCGAGGAAGCCTGTGGTGGCAGAGATGCCCTCGTCCTGGGGCCGGGCCGTGCCCTGTCACCGTCTAGGGGGTGGCGCAGGACATGTGACCTGGACAGTCACGAGGGCAGGTCTGAAGGTGGAAGACTGGAGGTAACTGTCAGCTCTGTTCCCGTGTTCCATCGACACTTGGTGGGGGGATCCCCCCCACTTCTTCGTGTGTGTCTGGGGGGTGCCTCTCACCGCTCCTGTGAGCTGCCCCTCCTGAGGGGACGCTTAGAAGAAGGGGCTTCGTGCGACCAAGAGCCTTGGCCTTGCGGTGGATCCTCGGTCTCACGGCCCCTCCGCCATTGCCTCTCAGCTCCCACCCCGCCGCCGAGCTGGCCCGTCTGCAGCCTCAGAGGCTGCGTTCGTTTCCTGGGGAGCAAAGCCCCAGAACCGGGTCACCCGAAGGAACAGAAATCCCCTTGGGTTGTGGAGGCCAGAAGTCCAATACCAACATGGCGGTCGGTCAGTCTCCAATCTCCCACTTACTGCCTGTGTTTTTTTTTCTTTTTCAGACACTCTTGGTACCATATGTGTGACTTCAGGTCTTCCAAGAAGCAGATTTCGGAACAGAACCAGGCTTGCATAGTAGCCTACTAGGGCTGCCGTAAGAATACCACAGACTGCTGGCTTCAACAACAGCAATGGGTCATTTCACCACGCTGAGGCCAGAGGTCCAAGGTCAAGGCTTCTACAGAGTTGGCTCCTCTGAGATCTGTTCCCATCCTCCGTCTCTGGTTTGTAGATGGCCCCCTCTCCGCTGTGCCTCTTTATATTAACTTCCCTCTGTGCCTGCCTGTCTCCAAATGGCCCATCTTTATAAGGACACCAGTCATACGGAGGTAGGGCCACCCTAACGACCTCATTTAACTTGATCACCTCTGCTGAAGTCCTGGGTTTGAATGCCCACACATGACTTGGAGGGAAGAATTCAGCCAATAACAGCGTGCAAGGAATTATGGGGAAATCCCTGCAAAGAACAGAGAGAGGTACAGGACGAGCAGCCCAGGGATACCTTCAGGTTGTGGTGAGGACCCCAGGCTCTCCAGGGACACAAGAGAAGAAGGGGTTGGTGGGAAGGACTTAGACTGCCAGGTGGTTGGTAGGGAGTCTAGGCCAGGCCTTGGGGCAGGCCCCTGAGCAGTCATGCCCCATTGTTAGCAGATGCCCCCAAACAATCTATCCCCTTTTGAGGGCTCTGCCTTCTTTGACCAGCCTTTCAGCTTTTTTTTTTTTTTTGAGGGAGTGGACTCTGGGTCCGATAGATTGTGTCTTCTACAAATGGAGGACATAGTGTTTAAACCACAGCTGATTAAATATTTGGGAAGTAGTAGAAGAGAAAATTAGAAGCAGTGACTACGGAGGACCCAGGGATTGGATGCAGGCTCACACAGATCAGGAGGCAGACACGGAACAGGAGCCCTGGGTGACCGGCTGGTGCCTTCACAACAAAACAGCCCAGTTTGCTGGCCTGGTTTTCATGGGAGCAAGAGTTTGGGTTTTCTAGGAGCTGCTTTCTTCAGATTGCTTAATATCTGCTTTTTGATTGAAGGGACATAAAGCATATCAGAGAAATGATGTATTTATTCTCTTGTGGGAGTTCAAGGTAACTATTCTCTGGGAGAAGAAAGCAGAGGAATGAAAGGCTCTTTCTATTCCCCACCGACTATTCTGAGTTGACCTCACACAACAGCACCTTAGAGTTTCTGTCTGCCGTTCTTTGACACCCAGGGACTCCAGAGCCTGGCGCATCCTCGAATGCATCAGCCTGTCTTTGGCTCTCTCTCCACTGGGTCACACATCATGTGAGACTTTTCCTTTCCTGTCTTTCTTTCTGAGAAAACTAGATGAAGTTTTGAAAGCATCCTCTACACCATATCATTGCGTAAGTTTTCAAAAGCATGACCTTATTTCTTGCAGAAGCTCTGTTATTCTACCTCTCCATTTCTCCATGCCCATCAGAAGCACAGATTTTCTTGTTTTTTAAGTTTTGGATGCAAAGGATTGCAGATCTCTCTCCCCAAAGCCCCTGCATACCTTCCTCCTCCTTGTCTGTCCTGTCGTGGCCCACACCACCCCTGGGGGGACACGCTGGCTTCCTCCCCGCTTTCACCCTTGCCCTCCCTTCCAAGCACTTTCTACTTTTTATGCCAAAACTGAAGTGTAGAAGCCCCAGTGTTGCCATGGCAGCCGTGTTGTCATGGGCCTTTGCTGGGGTTTGAGCTCTAAACTTTGAAAAAATAAAATGGCCTCAAAGAATCCAGAGGGAGACAGCAAGAGAGAGAAGGAAGAGAAAAATAAAGCAGGGCATCGGCCTGCGAGGGGGAGAGAGAGCAGGGGAAAGCAGGGCAGAACCCTGAAAATGCATTCGCGGTGACATCACTGCCTTTCCCATAGAGGCCATTGACTTGGGAGGCCCAGCGTCCATTCACTGTCCAAAGCCAGCTCTCTGGGGCCGGGGCGCCATCTCTCTCTTCCTGAATGCCTTTTTTGTTGGGAACAGTGGACTGCTTCTGAAGGGCTGCATAAATGACTGCGTAATTCACTGCCGTTGCCAGGAAGTCTGAGGCACTTGTGTGCTGACAATGGGGAACTTTATCTCCCGCCCCATGCTGGAACTTCCAGCTGTCGGTCTGAATTCTAATAAGGGCTTTGCTCCTGCCTCTGAGGTTATGGTAATATTTTATCCATCTTCTTTCGTGAAGACACAGTCATGGCCGCTACTGGGCACTGGAGGCCAGTCCTGAGGAGTGAGTGTGCTGTGGGGGCGAAATCTGAATAAAAATAAGAGGCAGGAAGAAAGAAAGTAGCTTCCCTATTAGCTTGATGGTCTTGCTGCTTATGATGAGTTTTTAAACTGACTTAGAGGAGAGAAGATAAAAATTTCACACTGACCCATAAATCTCTGAGCCAGGAAGATCACTTTGGGGAATTTTTCAGGTTGTAAATGCTGCCTCTCTTGTCTCCTTTTCGGCAGAATCATCAACAGCTGAGTCGGGTGATGTGCTCAGAGTTTGCGTGAGGCCCTCGGGTTCCTCTTCACTTCCGTATTTGCAGGTAAATGACTTTATGTTTTAGCAAGTTCCTGTTTCAGGCATTCCAATCCAGCAGCAGCCCATCATCTGTGCTTTCATGTTCTAAGGTTTCAGATGCCTGCTGTTAACCAGTGTCCAAAAGCATGAAATGGAAAATTCCAGAAAGAGGTAGTTCTAAATTGTGCACCATGGTTCTGAGTGGTGGGATGAAAGCTCATACTGTCCTGCTGTCTCGGGAATCGTCCCTTCATCCGGTGTGTCTGACTGTTGGTCATGTTAGTAGTAGTTAGTAGCTCAGTTATCAGATCAGCTATTGGGTATCACAGGACTGGTGCGCAAGTGACCCTAGTTTCTCCTAATTATGGTCCCAAAGCACAGAGGAGTGATGCTGGCCATTAGAATCCGCCAACGCCTGAAAGTCCTTACTTTTAGTGAAAAGGTAAAAGTTTTCATCTTAATAAGGAAAGAAAAATAAGATATGCCGAGGTTGCTAACATCTACTGGGACTTCCCAGGTGGCACTAGTGGTAAAGAACCCATCTGCCAGTGCAGGAGACATAAGAGACCCAGGTTTGATCTCTGGGTTGGCAAGATTTCCTGGAGAAGGAAATGGAAACCCATTCCAGTATTCTTGCCTGGAGAAACCCGTGGACAGAGGAACCTGACGAGCTACAGACCACAGGGTCACAAAGAGTTGGAACTGACTGAAGCAACTTAGGGCGTGCGTGCACGCACACACACACGCACACACACACACAGACTTAGAGTGATCTTCTATCTGTGAAATCATGAACAAGGAAAAAGAAATTCATGTTAGCTTTGCTGTTGCATTTCAAACTGCAAAACATCCTTACAGCCATAGTGTGAGGTAAGTGTTTAGTTAAGAAGGAAAAGGCAGTACTTTGAGAGAGGGTGACCATATTTACATAACTTTTATTACAATATTGTTATAATCATTCCATTTTATTGTTACTGGGCAACTCTTTCAATGTGGTTAATTTAGAAATTAAACCTTATCATGGGTATGTAAATACTAGATGCAAACATAGTACACGGTTTCGAATCATCCTTGGTTTCAGGCAACAACTGAGGGACTTTGAACAGATCCCCCATGGATAAAGTGGGATAACTGCACTTTATTTGAAGAATGGTTCTTAGCTAAGTGAAAACTTGAAGCAATTATCAACTTCTTGCCTCTTAGATTCTAAAGACACACCCCTAAAAAGTGTCAGCCAAGAAAGTCAAGGTCATTTATCTTCTGGGAGACCCTGGAAGGATACTTTCTAGTGACTGGCTACAGTGAAGACAGATATTTTCAAGAACTTACTCTGTTTCAGATGCTTTCAAGCTTCCTGGCTTGGTTAGTTTCCATCAGTTCCCTGGGATAGGATATTATCCCATTTTGAGTGCATACAAACTAATAGTTGCTAATGGATAGCTACCTTTGTAGCTGAACTCCATTCCCTCCATCCAGTTCAGTTCATCAGTTGCTCAGTCCTGTCCGACTCTTTGCGATCCCATGGACTGCAGCACGCCAGGCCTCCCTGTCCATTGCCAACTCCCAGAGCTTGCTCAAACTCATGGCCATCGAGTACCTGGTGATGCCATCCCACCATCTCATCCTCTGGCGTCCCCTTCTCCTCCTGCCTTCAATCTTTCACAGCATCAGGGACTTTTCCCATGAGTCAGTTCTTCGCATCAGGTGCCCAACGTATTGGAGTGTTTGAGAAAGTATTGAGAAATCCTGCATACAGATTTCTCAGGAGGCAGGCAAGTTGGTCTTACATTTTTCTTCCATTACTAAAGTTTATATTCAGGTTTCTTACTATCTTATCTTCTTGCTGGGAGAAGATGTCCTGAAGCACACCACTAGGGCAACATCATCCATCCAGGAAGCTGTACAGAAAAAGTGTGCGTGTTCAGGCATTCCAGTCATGTCCCACTCTTTGTGATCCCATGGACTGTAGCCTGCCAGGCTCCTCCGTCCATGGAATTTCCCTGCAAGAACACTGGAGTGAGTTGCCATGCTCTCTTTCAGGGGATTGTTCCAACCCAGGGATATATTGGACGAAAAGGACAAAAAAATCTTACAGAAATGTGGATGCAAGTCATTCAAGAATAGAAAAACTGACAGAAAATATATTAAAATAACATTTATTTAATGCAAAAGGTATTTAATTTACTCATAATAAGAAAAATGTAAATTAAAGCTACACGAAGATATCATTTCTCACTCATCTATTTGGACACTATTTAAGAGCTTGACAATTTACTCTGCTGTTAAGGCTATGTCACATTCACCACTGGTGGGAACTCAAATGACTCCTATGGAGGGGGATTTGGCAAAATCAAACACAGCTACATATGCATGCATTCTGCAACCCAGAAATCCCACTTACAGAAATTTACCCTAAGGATATATTTCTAGGAATACAATAGAAAGTAAACCTCTCTGAGATTACTTTTCTATATAATTTTGAGATTTGAAAATAACTTACTATTCTAAATATCAAAAATTTAAAAGAAATTGAAACAAGGAAGGGGGGTAATAGAACTGCAAGCAAACTGAAGCAAATGGATATAATATTATTTAAAATGAATAGCAAAGCCACAGTAGGGGGAAAGGAAGAGACTGTCAAATCACCTATGAGCCTGTTGACTGCGCATCCTCAGTCTAGAGGCATGGGTGGGGATGGGGCATGGAAGTAACTGCCAAGGAATCCTCAACTCTTCATTCAGTTGCTTGCTTCTAGTTGTTGCATGGCTGAGCGCACTTATTATGTGCATTTGCTAAGCCGCTTCAGTCATTTCCGACTCTTTGTGACCCCATGGACTGTAGCCCGCCAGGCTCCTCTCTCTATGGGATTCTCCAGGCAAGAATACTGGAGTGGGTTGCCATGCCCTCCTCCCGCGGATCGTTCCAACCCAGGGATCGAACCTGGGTCTCTTACATCTCTTGCGTTGGCAGGTGAGTTCTTTACCACTAGCCCCACCTGGGAAGTCCCGTCTGTTATAGGACTGAGCAAATCAGGAAATGAAAAGATGTTGGAAACCAGGGTTCTTAATGTAAAAGGATGAAGATATATATAATATAGTACAGAATGTGTATATGTATAATTATGTACTGAAAGTTTCCATTATAATTTATAATAATACTTAATGTTGATGGAATAAGATACTATATATATTAATGAGCACATATATGTATTATATACACATGATACACAAAATATATCTGCAATGTGTTACACATAATACTTGCAGATACATGAGAGTTAATTTGAATTCGACTGGAGTGAATTCAATGGCAACTTAAAACCTTGGTATAAGCTTAAGATTTCAAAGATAAGAATATAGAAATGCATACATATGTGTTATATAGGTATATGAGCATATGTTTGTGTATTGTGTGTGTTTTTATATATTCCCCCATACCTCTGTCTCCTGAAAGGGTGTAGAAGCACTGGCAACCCAGAAGCAATGTGCACACTTGGAATGCAGGGCTGGGTGTCTCGTTCCAGTCTCCTCTGAAGGGAACCCGGGCTTCCCAGAGAACTGTCTGACTCCAGTGCCAGGTCAAGGAAGGTACAAGATGAGCCTGAGATATATCCTCAGCTCAGAAGATAAAGATTTAATAAGCAATGGACAACTTGTTGCAAAGAGACAGAAAGCATTTTGTAAGATGTTTCTCTGATCAAGCTGTACAGTTGGAGCACCAAAATAATTGAGGATGGTATTGAATTATAAACATGGAAGAAAGCAGAATCCGTAAGACTAGGTTGATAATAGATAAATAAGTAAATGACCTCATAGAATTTCTCTAGGGCTTCCAGAAGATGAAGATGAGGCAGCCCCGGGGCTGAGTTTGTTAGGATATCTTGCTGCTACTGAAGGGGCAGAGTTACATACCTAGCTTCATTTACCTGTTTAGAAAACAGTAGTTTAAAAATATCGGAGAATTTAATGCAAATAAAAATCCCTAAAGTGTACATGAGACATTTAGGGTACACGGTGATTTTGTGTGTTACAACTTATTGATCTTCCCAACAAGCACTAAAAGGAGGGGACTGTCACCTTCACATTCAGACCTGGGGGTGGAGGCGTGGTGAGGATACACTGACGCTAAGACCAGTCACCATCGAATGCACAGGAGCCTGAAAGTCACTCCGAAGCCTACAGGACAGTCAAATGTTCATAATAGAATGGGAGCATGTGTGCATATATTGTTTGCATATTTTATCATGCAACTTTATCGGGTTCCCAGGACCTGATAAAATAAACCACTTTATTTACCTCTTAGGATTTACTGATGGAAACAGTTGTAAATGTGGTCTTCTCCAAATTCATATTTGTCAAAGGTTATATGAAGCAACTTGTGCCCTCCTGGCCAATCCCCTGTAACATGGTGACCCCGGGGGACCCTAGTCTCTGGGAAGAGAAAGAGCTGGGATTGTGTGCATTTCTGTGTGGGTGTGTGTGTGTGCGTGTGTGTGCAGATGCATAATTACCTCTTCACTCACACTAAGGGTGTGGGGATGAACTTGGACAATTTTTTCCTTTTTGTCTACAAACAGGAATGGGCCATATTCCTGTCTGGAAGCTGGGCGTCTTGCCCTGTGTGATGGTCTCGCTACCAGAGAAACCCAGCAGGATTAGGCATTCTTTGAAGGAAAAAAACTGACCTGTAAGTATTGGTCGAGTTTATTTCCTGGGAGAAGAGCCTCCCTGCCAGCCTCTACCTACTGCTTTAAGAAGCACCCTGATCCCATAACTAGGTGATCCTGATTCACTTTTGAATTGAAAGCCTTGATTAGCTGACTTATGCTTTAGGATCTTGGAATTCTAGAGGTGGATTGCCTCATCCTCTATCTTCTAAAGTATTGGAACAGATTATCTCTTCCTGAAAACTCAGTATTTACTGAGCTTCGTGTCTCCATGTACTGGCAGGTCACTGGAATACACAGAAAAGTGTCTCCTCAGAGGATCCCCTCCAAAGTGGGGAGGCTCTCACCGAACCTTCTTCCATCCTAGTTCGAGACTGCAGCTCTGCACAGCAGGAATGGGTCCTTTTAGGATGACTGTGAACTGATCAAGAAGTATCTCCTTTAATGACTAAATCAACTTCGGAAATCCACGGAATTGAGGAACTACTAGCACCAAAACAGCTTTACAACCCCCCATCCCCCAAGAATTTGAAAGAAGATTGCCGCTGTTTGAAACTAAAGATGTATCAAACTTTGACCTCCCTTCAGGATGAAAAGAATTAACTGACTCCTTTCTCCCTCCTAAATGTGGAAAGGCAATGAATAAAGACCAGGGGAGAGAAAATCTTTTTATTCCCCTACCCTCTCATCAATTCCCACATAATACCCTTTTGATTCTACCATGTGTAGAGTCTTGAAGTAGTAAGTATGTGAAAATGGCATATGGGCATCCATGGTACGTGGTCCGGGCCTTGGTGACAAGCCGTGGCAACCACAACATTGTCAGACTCAAGGTCAGCAATCACGAAACTCTTTGCTGACTCTTCAGAGTTTCTGATTCTAAACTGGGCAATTCCATAAATGATTTTTGATTTTCAAATCTCACTTGTGCATGAAGAATAACATATGTAAAGTGTCACACATTTTGTGCCCTGCCATGACACCAGTATGATCTCTTAATTCCCTAGTATTTCTGTTATGATGAAAATGATCACAAATCCTTCCTCTCTTTGAGAACATGCACACCAGTGTGAACATATTATGTTCATTAACTCTACAGTAAGGGGTAAGGCCTTTAGAGTAGAATGGAAAAAAAAAATTAAAGTTTGCAAACTCTGCCAAGAATACATCTTGTTTTGTGTTTCTTGTGGGAGGACATATTAAAGCATAGAAACCCTACAGTTCAGTGGTTTGTGCCCAAAAGGTAATATTATATTAGCTCCTGTTGTCTGGATCTTTGTCCGTTTTCTCCTTGCCTTGGATATCCTAGGGCTTCGCCTCCTGTTATCAATGTTCCTTTTGACTTCCTTTCTCCATCTGTTTTCAAGATTTCGTATCTTTCCAGTTCTACTTTTTAAATAGCTTAAGTGATTTTTCTCTTGGTTGTTTATCTTTCTGCCTTTGAATGTAGTCAAAGAAACAGTTCTTCACAATATTCCTGCGAGTCATAAACAGGTTTGGTGTATTCCGTCTTCCTGAGAAAATCTTTTTCTATCCATCTACCTATCTACCTACCTATCTACCTTTCTATGTATATTGAATGTATGTTCATTTTCTTGGCATATTTTAGATGAAAATGAGCATTTTAGTAAAATAGCCAATTGATTGTCCAGGAAGCTGAGGTGTCATAAAATAGAAATTTGGTCTGCAGGAGTTAATGGAGAAGTGGGTTACCAAATGGAGAAGGGAGAAAGATAGAAATAGAGGAAACCGCACATTATTCTGATTGGCATAAATTCACATGAATGCAGACCACAAATATTTGCTATTTTTTAGTCTTTCAGTAGTCAGAACCGCAGAGTCGTCTTAGCATGTTAGGAAACATTACTTTTGTCAGCTCTGAAAGTGGCATTGTCGGGGCAGAAAAGCATGCAGGGACTGGAACTGAATCACTTGGCCGTGGCCTCAGGATCCCCAGCACTGAGCTGGAGTTTATGATCTGTCATGATCTGATCTTAGTTCCAGGTCCATCTAGTCACCAAATAAGATTCCTTAACAGTACCTCCTCATAGGAGGCTTGAAAAAGGTGACAGATCTTAGAGATACTTAGAAAGAAGAAGACAACCCTCAATAATTTATAGTATGTGGAGAAGAAGAGGGGCTTGAGGATGACTCACCACTTGGATAAATGGAGGATAATGGAGCCACCGTGAGATGGACTATGGCAGATCAGAGGAGGTAAAGAACTTTGTTTTGAGCTTGACAAGTGTGAAATGCTGCTGAGATTTCTCGGCAGAGGATTCTAGGAGGTTTTCAGACACATAGAGCTGAAGCTCTACACAGGAAGACAGCAGTTGCGAGCAAATAAATAATCATTAAAACCAAAAGAGTGCATGCATCTCTGTACGTGAGTAAAGACACAGCTCAGATGCGACCCTGGCCCTCATTCCCAAAACCATCTAATAAGCGGATGGGGAGAGAAAAGCCTGTAGGTGAAGACATAGCCAAAGGAATAGAGAAAAACCAGGAAAACGGAATTCAGGAAGGCCAGGCGAACGATACAAGAGTATTCTAAGAATACAGGAATGTCTAACAGTGCAAAGGTTTCAGAGGAACCAACACTTTAAGGTCCAGAAAGGATCCGTTTAAGAACTCAGGTGTCACTGATGATCTTGCAAGGAGGGATGAAACCCAAGGATCAGGGGTCACAGCGCCAAACTGGTCAATGTTAAAACACACAGGTCTGTTATGGACAAGGGCACCCTGAGAGGGGGTATTACTCTCCAATCTTTTGTTCATTAGCCAGAAATTCCTCAGGCTGCTTAAAAAACAAGGGAAGCTGGTTGTTCACTAAGACAAGTCCCAGCAGGTTGACTTTTAACTTCTTGTATTGATCTCTTCCGCTTCCATGTCCTTTATAAAGTTTCCTTTCCTTTTTGTTGCTGTTGTTCAATCGCTCAGTGGTGTCCGGCTCTTTGTGACCCCATGGACTGTGGCCCGCCAGGCCCCTCTGTCCATGGGATTCTCCAGGCAAGAACACTGGAGTGGGTGGCCATTTCTTTCTCCCGCGGATCTTCCCGACCCAGGGATCGGATCACATCGACGTCTCCTGACTTGAAAGGCAGAATCTTTACCACTGAGCCACCAAGGACGCCCACTTGTTTTGCATGTTGCATTTGTGCCATTCTGCTCCATTCTGCCTTTCTTTCCAACCAAACTTGAGCTTTGCAAATTCTAACTGGTCCTTTGTGCTCAAGGATGTTATTTAAAAAGAAAGAGGCCTCTCAATGAACGCCACTGTGGAAGTCTTGGAACAGGGCTGAGCATTTTCCACCCACGTTTGACTGCTTCTTCACTGCTCTCTGAATCACCTGTGAGCTGGCATTTCGCTCTGGGTTGGCGCAGATGGCCCAACAAGCACGGGCTTTCTCTAAACGTCAGCCATTCAGGATTTGCCGAGAGTCGCTTTTGATACGATTGTAGGAACGGGAAACACAGAAGTTCAGGCATCCTTTTCCTATTAACTTCTAAGCTCCGCGCTCCAGGCTCCATGCTGGGCCCCCTGGCCCTGCCCTTTCAACCCTAGAAATCTCTGCCAGCAGGTTTCCTCGTGACTCCGCAGCACTTCCTGCTTCCCTCAACAGGAAGCGCCGCGAAGGGGCGCCTCCGCTCTCTCCTGGCTTCTGCTTCCGCCCAGGAGGAGGAAGCGCGGTGACCAGAGCTGAGGCTGGGCAGAAATGAGCTCCTAAGTCTGCGGCACACACCACACACCTCACACACCACACACACCACACAAACACACCACACACACCACACAAACACACACACACCACACACACACACACAAAACACACCACACACACAAACACACACCACACACACACAACACACACCACACACCACACACACACCACACACACCATACACCACACACACCACACATAAACATACAAACACACACCACACACACACAACACACACAAACACACCACACACACCACACACCACACACCACACACCACACACACCACACACAC